GAATAAATTCTTCAATACGTTTTAATTGGCCTTGATCATCCAAAAATCTTTCTGGTTCGAAGCGAAGAGGATTTGGGAAGATCTGAAAATAAAAATGGTGATAAAAATAAAAAAAATCATTTAATATTATAAAATTTAAATGAGAAAAATAAGTTATAATGAAATGAAGAATGCCCAATTTCTTTTTGGCCACTCTCTTCATATGTTAATTAATTAGAAATTAATTATTGTATCCTGCCATCTAAGAGAGCTGAATTCTCTTACAATTATATGAATGATAACAAATTTTTCTAATTTTTTAGGTTTTGAGTAACCAACATCAGCAATTTAAACCTAAGCCGACTATAGGTTTGAGTACCACTACCTCGATTTAAAAAAAGTAGATTCTTCTCATACAATTTTTTTATTAAAAATTTACTTTTTCATTAAATAGCACACAGCAAATTTGTGGAATAATGGATATGCCCTTTCTAAGGTGATATTTCCCTTCTAAAATTTGAGCATCTGTCATTGTTCGGTGTGTAAGATTTAATGGAAGTAAATTACAAACACGTTGTGTTTCCTAAAAATTATTTTATTTTGATTAAAATTTATTTCCCCTACATTAATAACAGCATTTAAAAAAGGTAATTTTCCTCTATCAGCTTGTGTATCAGAATTATCAAATCCATTACGGCCCTTTTCCTCCTCCAAACGATCTAATTCTTTATGCATTTTTGATTGAACTCTTTGGTCAAGAATTAAATATAAAATTAAGAAATTTAATGTAGTCGAAGTTGTGTCTTGACCAGCCAAAAATAAATCGAAACAAAAGGGTGTTATAGTCTTCAAGCTTAAAAATATTTATAGAAATTGCCATTAAATTAAAAAAATTACCTAAAATATTCATCCTTTCCCGTCTCTATCTGATCAAGAAAATAATCAACTAAATCATTAGGTTCTCCTCTCTCTTCAGGTGTTTGTTTCTCCCGTTCAGAAATTCTTTTATTTATTGGTCTTTTAATGAATTTATAACAAGTTGTCAAATTATTGTCTAATTTTCTAAATGTTTGTGAAAATATGGGGAAATATCGAAGCCAAGGCATAGTTATTAACATAAGGCCTGTTAATGATGAAAGTAAACACGTTTGTTCTTCCAAAGGTTGCTTTAATTCGTAGAATTCAGACATATGTTCCTTTAAATTATAATGAAAATATTCTAAAAAAATATATATCCCCTCTATCATATACATAACCAAATTAAATTTATAATGAGCAATCAAAAAATCAGCAATCGCGATTTAAAAATGTGAATTTATGTTAATTTGAGTCGAAATACGAATTTTCTTATTCTACACACAACTTGAAGGATTTAATAAGTATCTCCCCTCAATCTTTCGCCAACTCTAATAACCTAGTTTGAAGCAAAAAACGACTAAAAATATTTACATCGTCGAATGGATATCCAAATGTAACACGATTTACTGTAGTTCCAGCCAAGCGTTCTATTTTACTTTGAATATTGACATTATATCCCCCATTTTTAGATATTTCCTCTTTTATTTGTTCAATAAATCTTTCCATATCTTCAAGTAAATGTTTTTCAAGTCCAGCCCTTCCAACGCCCAAATTACGCATTGACTGTAGACCGAATCGACGCACAACCTTCCAGGGATCTCCTTCTGTGCGTATAACACCCCCATAATCGTCCTTTACAACTTAAAGATTTCGTATTAGAAAAATTCTAATAAGCTCCTATTACACTTTTTAAAATGTAGAAGGGCAGTAGTAACCCCCCCCCCCCTTTTGTCCCACTTAAAAGTGGGACAAAAGGAGGGGTGTGTCGGCAAATCAAGGGAAGCCAAAAGGTGAAGACACATTCTATTTTCCTAACCACCCCTTTGTCTCCACCCTTTTGTCCCAGTTTGCAACAAACGTGTGATTGGCCAATGGAAACTTAAAGGTGTGAGAGCCAATGGGGAACAACCAATCGGAACATTTTTTTTACCACACTATTTTTCTTTTCTAACCACCCTTTTGTCCCAGTTAGTAGTTAACCCCCCCCCCCCCCCCCCCCCAAATCGCTCCCCCCCAAATCGCTCACCCCAGATCGCTCACCCCAAAATCTCTAAAACCCAAACCTTTTGAAGCTTTTTTCTTTTGATTATGCCGCCAACCTATACCTTTTGAAGGGGTTCAAGGGAGATTAATAAAAGGGTGAGGGTAATTAATCATATTTAAAATAATTAATTACTTTTTGAAGGTAAAGGGTGATGACAGGTGTCAAATAAATTAATACGTTTAAGAAAAGAGCGATCTGGGTGGAAGGCTAAAAATTATCAAATCAATTAATTAAATTTAAAATGTCAAAATTAATTAAATTAAAAAGGGACTTTCTAATTAAAAAATAAATTTAAAAAATTAAATAAAAATAATATTAATTAAATAAAATTAATAAAAAATAAATTTACAAAATTTTGACTAAAAATTAAAATGATTTCAAAAAATGAACGGAAGTACAAATATAAGGGGGCGGGGCTAATTATTTAGAAATACCAACTTTCAAAATGTCAACCGACAAAATGGTAAATTAATAAATTGGAGGAAATTCAAAATTTAAAAATTGGCGGGAATTTCGAATTTAAAAATTAAAATAGGTTATAATTAAAAATTCAAAATTTAAAAAATTAAAAATATATATTAATTAATTAATTAATTAATTAATTAATTAGAAAATGGGGAAGAAAAAATTTTTACAAAATTTTAACAAAAAAATAAAATGATTTCAAAAAAAAGAGTGGAAGTAGAAATTTAAGGGGATTTCGAAATGCCAAATTTAAAAAATTGGGAGAAGGGGGTGGCATTTTAAAATTTTCAAAAAATTTCTTAGTGTTAGTAGATAATAAAAATAAATTATAAAATTTTAAAAATAATTAAATTAAATATGGGAGAAATAAATTGACAAAATTTTAGAAAAAAATTAAAATGATTTTAAAAAATGATCGGAAGTACGAATGTAAGGGCGGAGCTAATTATTTCGAAATACAAACTTTCAAAATGTCAAGCGACAAAATGCCACACCGACAAAATGTCATGTGACAAAATGCCGATGTCCAAAAGGTCAACCGATAAAATGGTAACTTTAAAAATGTCAAGCGACAAAATGCCACATCGACAAAATGACAATTGACAAAATGCCAACTTTCAAAATGTCATGTAACAAAATGCCTACTTTAAAGATGTCAAGTGAAAAATGATAAACGACAAAATGTCATGTGACAAAATGCCAACTTTCATTTGTCACGTGACAAAATGCCAGCTTTAAATTGTTTATTTAAAAAACAAACGGGAGGCAAATATTTCCATTAATAAAACATATCTATTATTAATCTATAATAAATAAATTATTAATAAAAATTTAAACACCATTAATTAATTTTGTTATTTTTTACAATATATCACAAATTTATCTAACATTCGATTTCTTTAAATAAATTTTCAACTTAATTTCATTAATATTGGATAATATTTTCTCTATATAAAACATCATTTATTCTAATCTTAATATGGTTCATATCCCCTTTGATCCGCGAACTATCGGATACGATGACCACCATACAAATATTAGTCAAATAGGAGAAGGAACTGATGAAAATTATTACTATTTTCGTGGACTCAATCCCTATCAACGTGGATACGGGAGACAAGCGGGTGGCGGAGTCGGAGATGTACTTAGAAATTTTTGGCGTTTCCTTTTGCCATATGCAAAACGTGCGGGGACAGCTGTTGCAAAAGAAGCATTGGATACTGGAGGAAGAATTTTGGAAAGTGTCGGGAATCCAGAATATGGCATTGATGAATTTAAACCAAATTTCAAGCAAGCAGTAATAAGTGAGGGGAAACGCGGATTGGACAGATTGCTTGAGAAAGGTGGAATGCAAAAGCAGTTTGGAACCGGATTGAAAGCGAGGGATAGTATAAAAGGACACAAAAGAAATCGTAAACCTCATTCAACATTTTCAAAGGAAAAAAGTCATCAAATCATTATTGGTAAACATCCCTCCCTTATACCAAAAAAGAAACGTCAAAAAATAGATACATTCGGTCTTTATTAAATAAAAATGTCTACTCATCAGAAAATTGATCGTGATTCTGGCAACGCAATAACAAATGCTTTATCATTTTTCGAAACTCCTCATACGAATGTTAGTATTAGCAACTCATCATTTATCGAATTACTCACACTTAACCCTGTAAATATTACGCCTTTTCATTTCAAAATTCATGCGACTACAAATTATATTGATTTGGCCAAAACTTATGTTTTTACAGAACTTAGAATTAAAAAGGAAGATAAAGATGGGAAACTTGTTGATATAGGAAAAGATGATAATGTGGCGCCCGTGCAGCTTATAGGCCACACAATTTGGAAAAATTGTCGCATGCATATTAATGGGACACAGGTTTTTGAAGGGAATTCCCTCATGGCTTACAAAAGTATTTTTGACTATGAACTAACTTACCCACAAAGTGTAAAGAACTCTTATCTTTCCGTAGCGGGATATTATGATGATGGGGCTACACAAACATATCCAGGAGTTGATGCAAATGGATATGGAATCAAATCAAGGAAAAAATTATTCTTAGATGAAGATGGAAACCCGCGCAGTGCACAATTTATGGCCAAATTAGACGTTGATATTTGTAATCAACCAAGATATTTAGTGAATCAATGCGAAGTTGATATTGAATTACTCCCACACGAATCAAGTTTCTTACTCAGTGCTCCCTGGGACACTGCACCAAAATACCATTTAGAAATTTTGGCTTGCAAGCTATATGTAAAGAAGATTGAGCTAATGGATAGTTTAGCATTCGATATTGCAAAAAAACTTGAAATAAAACCTGCACGATATCCGTTAAGGAAAACATCTTTAAAATCCCTATTTATTAGTGAAAACCGAACAGAATTTAATGCTAATTTATGGATGGATCAGGTGCCACGAAGAATTATACTGGGAATGGTTGGTAATAAAGATTTCGTTGGACGACAAAAGACAACACCATTTTATTTTCAACATTTTAATTTGAGAGATATTTCTATAACTGCTGGGGGAAATGGACCGGAGATGTTTGATTTGATAAAAAATGGTACAACTAGTATAAGAATGACATTTAATGAGGCGGTTCCAAGTGGTGGGATTGTACTAGTGGCTATGGGTGAAATTGATTCTCTGCTTATGTTAGATAGAAACAGAACTATTTTCACAGATATTTCAGTATAAATACCCTGATTTTTCCTCAAATTTTCATTTCCCATTTCATTTAAAATGTTCCATATTACTATTAAAATTGAATTTAGCATTGTTTTAATTATTTTATTTTTCTTTCTGTATAAATTATCACTACAGTATTCAATGACTAATGAAAATGATAATCTAGAATATAGAGAAAAATTACGAGAATATATAGGTTATTACGCCAATACAATACCCCCATCAATTGAAATTAATAATAATAATACAACAAGATTCTCAATATTACCTGAAAGATTTAAAAATAATATTAGTCTATCTTCTACTACCTTTAACCCAGATAAAAATATTAAAATTTTGGATTTATGGTCAATGGAACATGTGAATAATGTACAAATTCCTGCCCTTTGCAAGGATTTTCCTTCATCAGAAACATCAATACCACAGGCTATTTACTGCATTTCATTGATTGTACTCTGGCTTTTATTATTAGCTACAGCTTTAGCCTATCAACTTAGAAAATTTCAAAAGATTAAAACCATCAACAAAGACATTGAACTTGGAGAGATACAAAGAGAGATATAAACATTTTCTTCCTTTACAGAAATGGACACTTTACAAATAGAGAAAATTTTATCACAAAATAGAATTACAAGAAGACATTTTATTGGATGCTTTGCCGCAGATAAAATCCCACAAGATTTTCAAAAATATCCTTGCTCAATGGTCGTCAACTTTGAAAAATCTTCTCAGAAAGGATCACATTGGATTGCATTTTTCATAATAAACCCCGAGAATATATTAATCTTTGATTCATTATTACTCCCCAACCCACCAATTTCAATTAAAAATTTTATTTCCAAATTTCCAAACCGTGTAATTAATAATGTACCCGTTCAAAACCCTCTTTTACCCACTTGTGGCCAACATTGTATCACTTTTATTTATTTTATTTCGTCTGGATACTCTTATAAAAAATTCCTAACACTATTATTAAATTATTCAAATCCAGATGAATTCGTTTTTTCTTTTATTATTAAAATGATAAAAAATATATAAAGTATTACAATTTTCAAAAATAATTTTCATTTAATTAAAATCTTAACATTCTGTTAAACATTAGTGTAATAATTACAGTTCCGTGATCAAACTTTACTAGATTTCCGTTCATCCATCTTAGTTCTATCTCAATCTCATTAATCTCTCTGGGTAACACTGGTATGAACATTGGTTGATCATACACTCTTTCTACTACACCTCCAGACCTATTCTCAACGGCCACAATTCTTAGTAAAGAACTGACCGAATTTCCCATTATTACATTACTCGTTAATCCTTTTGAATAAACAGCAAAGCTTGTGAATCCTCCTTTGAGGTCAATGCCATATTTTCCAATTTGACCGTTTACCAAACGACCCATGGGGAAGCCGAGAACATAACATAATTGTGAAGATATAATTATATTGCTAATCCCAGGATCATTAAAAATTACTCTAAAGCGATCAATACTGTCCAAATATTCAAATTCAATGTCAGAATGTAAATCTTTTGCCTGAGATTCCTTTTCTTCAATCAAAGTAACTGTCTTCTCATTTATCAGATTATCTGCATTTTGTTCATCCTTTTGCTCCTCAAATTTTTTTTTGTTGGTATAATTTCTTCTGAGGAATACAAATCTAAAACAGGACTTCCACTGCTTTTCTCCTCCTCATTTTCCTCTTCGTAATCTTCCTCCTCAGCTACAGTATCTTCCTCTTCATCTATTGGTTGCTCAAGAGATATAGGATCTCCATGTTTGTCTATTTTTCTGGCATGTTTTAATTTCTCCTTGCTTTCTTTCAGTTCTCTATCTTTTCTTTCATTTTCCTCTGACTCTCTGGTCTTGTCCTGCTCATACCCATGTCTATCCTTGACAACTTCAACCATTTCATCTGTAATTACCGGAGCAGGAATTGGTACTGGTTTGCCTTTATCATCTACTTTCAGGGCATCTTCTAAATATTCTGGGTGTGTTTTCTCTTCAATTTTTTGCATCTCCTTAATTTCATTTTTAGTTGGTGGAATTGGCAGCTCAAAATTTTTCCATTTCTTGTATGCCTCTTGATGTATAGCTGTAAATCTGTTTCTTCTGTATGAAGCCAGTTTATTTAAGTTGTCAATCTCCTTCCCTAATTTATTCTTTTCTTCCTCATCTTCTTCATGTGAATGCAAATCACGTTTTTCTCGAATTTGGCTGTGTAATTCTTGTAGATCACCTAAATTTTTCTTAAGAGCTGTCCAATGATCCACTGGGTGGTCTTCAAAAAATTTTTGTACAAATTCTGAGTGTGTATTTGAATTTTGTTGATGAAATTCATCTCTAGTAATATTCAAATCTTTTTCAATAATAACAGATTCTATTGCTTCCAAATTTTTTCTCATACGTTTTATTGAATTAATAAACCTCTGAATCTCATCACCAGAACGAGCATTCTTACCATCCTTTTCCCTACTCTCTTTAATCTTCTCTTCTAGTTCAATGTATCTTACAATTATATTTATTTCCATCTTTATTACTTGTTCGTGATAATCATTTGGATGTTGTTCCAGAAACTGATTTGCTGATTTTCTTCGTTAGTCGATCATCTCGCCTGTCTCTCTTATTAGCTTCCTCTGTTAAAAGACGAATTTCCTTCTTTTTACCTTCTGAAAGGGAATGTAGGTGATCAAGTTCTTGCTGTAATTCTTCCTTCTTTGTTTCATCCTCCTCATTAAGAACCTCTTTTGTTTTTTCCTCTACTTTAACTTTATGTTGTTCTAACTCTTGCTCGTGATCGCGTATAGCATCCCAGTAATTGTGAGGATACTGATTAAAAAATTCCTTTATCCACAACGGTACAGTATCCACTTCACTTGCTTCCCTTCTTCGTCTTTTCTTAACTGCGTCAACTACTAAATTAATTTCTGGATCAATAATAATTTCATCCTCAAATGTCTCGATTGAAACATCACGTCTTTTCCTAGACTTTTCCTTGTTGGATAATACAAGTTTTAGAAAGAAGCTGAGACCGTTCGGTGTTAGTTGTGTTGTTTTAGGAATTCCAATTCTATGTGGTTTCTTGTTTTTGTAATTAATTTCGATCCATTGTTTAACGTCTGTGCCAATAGTTGCAGCCCATGACTGGGGGTATTGGATACTGTAGAGCCCACATACCCAGTTTCCACCTTTAAATTCTATTGGTTTCGGAAGGTATACGCGATATTTATTGGGTTTATTATCTGGGTAATCACTAACATTACTTGGAAGAACAACAAAGAATGTATTAGCCATTATTTATTTCAATAAAAATAATAATAATAAATTGAACAATTAAGGTGAAAAATAATTAAAAATGATTTATGGGGAATGGAAAATTGGACTTTTATACAAATTGATTTTCGTCTATCCACTGGGGTTTGGGATAATCATAAAATTTAACAAAAAATTCTTTTCCTCCATCTTTTTTCTTTCTACTCTTAATAATCTTCTCAATTCTGTAGCTAGTATTCTCATCCTTCCTCACTCGGGTTAATTCCTCGGGGTAGAAATATCCTTTAAATACTTCTCCATTATCGTCACGGACACGATATCTGTTGGGATTAGCCTTCTTTTTAACAAGATCTATCTGAAGAATTTCATCGCTATAATTTGGAAGATAACCCTTTGAAAAAATATTTTTACTTCTGCTCATACGCACATGATCATTCTCCTTAAAACGTGGTTTTTTTCTAGCTTTATTCTTGCCAATAGGACCAAATACCATTTCTCTTATTTTCTTTGAATTGTTAAAGCTTACATCAACTGGTCTTAATCCACATAAAACTCTACACTTTGAATGATTTATAGCGTCTACAATCTTTGGTAATGCTTCTGTCCATTTTAAAGTATGTTTCTCACTCATAAATCTGTACAATCGCTGTTTAATGTTCCGAATACATCTTTCAGCTAGAGATGCTTTAACTTCTGAGAAAGTTGCTGTGTATTTTTCAATATCTTTTTTCCTAAAGAAATCCATAATTTCTTTGCTGCAGAATTCTGTTCCCTTATCGCTAAAAATTCGGTGGGGATACATTTCCATTCTTGACAAAATTTTTTCAAATGCATCAATCATATCATTTGATTTTTTAGTGCAAACAGGTTCAGCGAAAACTCTTTTACTTAAAACATCTATTGCAACAAGTGCATATTTCTTTCCATTATTTTGCTGTGATAATTTTTGAAAATCGGCCAAGTCGCACTGAACATCTGTCATATACCCAGATGGATATGTTATTGATCTTTTGAAGTGCACACGCCTAGGACGGTGAATGGTATAAGTTCTATTTCCTTCCAAATATTCCTCAACATCCTTCTTTTTAATACTTGCATCTTTTTTTCGAGCCTCTATCCATAGCTGGTTTACACCAGCAAATCCTGCTGGATTCGCTGGATCATTGTAAAGTTTATCTAAAATCATTTCCATTCTGCTGGAGGTCTCCATTTTGATTCAGCTATTTCTTTGTATTCAGGTATTTTTCTTTTTTGTTTTGAATAAGTTCTTTTCGGAGTACAGCTTTCTCGTGCCTTCTCTATCAACGGCCAAATTTTATTATCACTTTTTAATTTATTTTCTAAAACGGATGTTCCTGGAGGTGTCAATTCTCCCCATCTCAATTTCCCACTGATTCCTGTTCGGAGTATGCACTCTATGGATTTCTGTGCATTGCTTCCCTGTATTTCTTTACCTCCTTTCCTACTTAGAATCTTTCCATCTGTGCTCACATCATATTTATCAAGATTCTCTTGCTTCATACTTTCAAATATTTCTTTTGTTTTTTCTTTTATTTCTGTCTTTTTTGGTTCAGTTTTCCTTCTGGAATCCGGAGATTCCTCGTCGGCCGTATGCATACTAAGCTCATTATCATTTAAATCGGCTCCCTCTTCTAAATCTGGAAATTTTGGTGTGGCTTTATTTTGTTTAAGTACTTGTTGATTATTTTCATTGGTGTCGGTTTGGAGTAGGGGAAGTAAT